AAAGAAGGGAAAAAAAAAAAAAAAAGAGAAAATCCTTCGGCGGAGTCGAGGAAGGAGCAGGCGGCCCGCGAGCGCAGCGAGGGCTGGTGCAACTTAGAAGAAAGCTGCGTCCCCCCCTCCAAGCCCTCCCATCAGAAACCGCTCTGCTAAAAAAATGTGTTGCTGAAAAATCTGAGTGTCCTGATTTATTCTTTTAAAGACACTCTGTGTGTGTGTGTGTGTGTATATATATATATATTTTTTTTCCTTTGCGCTGGGGATGTTCGGGGCGCCTGCTGCTTGCACAGCGGCCCTGCATTTCTGTGCATCCCCCAGAAGCAGCTCCCAGGTTTCAACTTTCCACCGGGCGCGATGAGAAGGCGCCTTCCTGGGGCTGCCCTGCCCGGAGAGCAGTTGGGGCATTTCTTAAACCAGCTTTTTGTCATCTTCTTTTTCTTTTCCTTTATTAAGTCTGTATGTTACTCAGCCTCAGTGGATATTTTTTTCCCTCTGTAAACTGACATGCGCTTTGGTGTTGCCCTGCTTTTAGGTTTGTGTTGAAAATTGAGGAAAAATAAGAATAAAAAGCAGCCAGGAAGGTGCTCCAGTGCAGCTCCCGTGCAGGGGTGCCCGCAGACCTGCCCGCGTTCCTGGCACCAAATACGAGAGCAAATTCATAATTCAGTGCAGTGCAGATGAGACCACGGTGTAGGTATGATGAGTATTAGGTAACTTAATAAGAAATACATTTTTGATGGTAAGAGCGGACACGGCATAAATACCGGCTCTGGGGAAGCCTGTGGAAGAGGCTACTCTCGAGTCCCTCATTCTTGCAGGTTGTTAATCGGGAAGCAGCTTCTTCCTAGACAGAGTGTGATTCACAGCGGCTCTGAAATACCTGTTGTCTCTCCGGTTCCTGCACTCACACTCCCTCTCCCCAACTCCTTTCCCAATTTACTAGGGAATCTCTAGATTTTTTTTCTTTAAGGAAGTCTCAGTTCCCAAACAGAGCAGGGCGGATAAGCTTTTATTTTCTTTCTTTTCTTTTTTTTTTTCCCCTTAGAACATTAATTCTTACCTATTCCTGGATTCCTAGAGATTCCTTTCGTCTGTCTTTTTTATTTATTTTTCTACTGAGGCACGCAGCTCAACTTGTGCTAATCCCATGCTCTTTCTAAAATGCAGGGCCAAGTCCCACCACATAAATAAACTTCGGTGCCCCCAAACTTTTATCCCATAAAGCTGCCAATGGCTTGCTTTTAAATTAAATTAAAACTCAGCAACAATAAACAGAAATAAATGTGTTTCTCCCCCCCCCCCTTTTTTTTTTAAATCAAAGGGTGTCTTTTTTTAAACACTTTTTTTTCTTTTTTCTTTTTTGCTTTTTGGGCCATGTAGGGGATGATAGGAATTAGTAGCCTTTAATTAGACGTGGAGATATTCACATTTTGCAGGGATTTATGTTAGAACATGGAATGGCGGGTGGCTTGTTTCCTCATTATGAATACTCCCTGCACATAATGAGGTTCATCATTAGTTGATGGAGTGAATTTGCCCTAGCTCTACCTTGAAAGGCACATAATTTACATACTACTTCAGAGCTTAGGCTTTAATGGATTCCTCGATGAATAAAATGAAAAGCTACTTTCTTTAAATTTTTGAACAGTGTTTTGATAATACGGATTTAATAAGACATTCAATTTCCTTGTTAAGTATATTTGAAAGTGCATTCCCAATTTTAGCGCAAGAGATGCTTCCCGGTGCCGCTCTCCGTGATACGGGGAGCCGGTACCGGCGGTACCGGGGCTCGCACGGCGGCAGCGGGGCCTCGTGCGGGATGCGCGGGATGCACCGGGCGCCGCTGGCCGCATGCCGGCCCCGCCTTCTCCAGGCTGCTCCTGCCTGGCCGGTGCAGCTGGGATAAACGGGAATGCCGGCTGCCTCGCGCCGTAGCATCCCGGCGGCTTTTCCCAGCCTCCAGGATGGAGGGATGCGCGCTGGGCCCGGGCATTGGTGCGAGGGTGGCGCGAGTCTCGCCGTGACGCTCACGGAGGCGGCCAGGAAGCCAGAGCAGATGCAGGAAAAAAGAAAAAAAAGGCAAAAAAAATCAGCAAAGGCTTGTTTTGATAGAACACTTTATTACCTGAAAACGAAGAGCATATATTAACATTAATAGAATAGTCTGTGTCACTCTGTTTTTTAGGTAATTTACCTCAGCTGCAGACCTGTCGGCTTCAAAATCTTCCCCTGTTCTAAAACATATATTTGTTTAGGGAGTTTTCATTGAAGTGTACATGACAATTACAGCTGTTCATTAACAAAATTGGGTATTTGTTTTAAACTTTAACCAATCACTTTGATATGCTAATTATGGTGTAATTTAATTTGAGCCCTGTAATGATGATGCCGTTATTATGGACATAAATGATGCAGTTAAGCTGAGAGTAATCTCATTTGCATACTGTACATGCCAGTAAATTAAGCCCTTTCTTCGACTGCTTCAGCTTTAATTTTCCACTTCTTTTCACACAGCGCCTTTTCAGCCGGTCTCTTATAAGCCCACTTTGTAATAGTGCTGATGACTGTTTGATGTGGAGAGTTGCGGCACCACAATAATGCAAGACACAAGATGTAACATTTAAAGGATTCATTATCTTACTGAGTGTTCGTTGCTTTAAGAAGCCGGGATTAACGAGGGTGCAAGTGTCCTCTCTGTCGAGCAGCGCAGGGCTGCCCATAAATAAATGCAGCCCCTTTGCTCTCCCCCACCCTCCTTTTTGGGTTTTTTTTTTGGTATATTCAGAGTGTCCCCGTAAGGCCTCGCAGTATTTTTCAGCAATAAACTCCAACCCCACAATACCCTTTTTTGCACCACGTAGAGTGTTTGACCTTTACTGTAGGATGCTCTACGGTGGGCCACTGTTGCAGAAAAGTTCCCGGGTATAATTTACATTTTAGCGAGCACATCAGATCGTCGCTCAGATGAGGTGCACGGGCTACAGGAGCTGCCCGTGTGACATACACTAATGCAGAATTAAAATCTGTGCTGCTGGTGTAGCTCGTTTGCTTTAATCACTGTATTTTTTTTTTCCTTTGGTGGCTCCACGTGGCTTAAACTTAAGATGATATTAAGTGAATTTTGATTTTTTTTTTGAATGACATTCATATGGCATTATGCCTCCCAGCATTAATCAAAAACCTGGGTTTCAACCCTGTAAAAGTCGCCCAAGCCAATCAGAGAGGAGCAGAATTAAGTGCTTGCTCAAATGGTTAATCTTTTCCCATTTGCCCTGTTGGCATTGAACTGAAGTATTCTCTTAACGCCGCGGCATACAAAGAAATCATGTGAAATAAACAGGGTGCTTTTTATAGCTCCTTACTCCCATGGTTAGATATTTTCATAGTTTAATACCTCTGGAAGCGAAGCCCAGCTCGAGCTGGCCGCCTGGAGCGCCGCTGCCGTGGCCGCGTTTGGTGAGAGCCTCACAAAACCCCTGTCGCCCTTCCCTTGCGTGGGGTCCCGTGACCAAAAAAAGCCGGTGTGCAGCTGCCTACAAGAGGTGCGAGTGCAGAACTTGCCGGTGAGCAGTGTGGAAGCTGTTGTTTCCCGAAGCCGGCCCCTCGTGGCGGGCTCGCCCGTGCCCGGTGCTCGCCAGGCCTCGGGCTTTACGGGCTTTATCTGGATGTACATGAGAAATGCTCGCCAGCAACATCTCCACGCTGCTGTTGGTGCTCAGAGCCCATAGCTCTTCAGGCAGCCTGTGAACCAGGTACCTGCCAGCTTCCCATCGTGGGGACACGAGAGGAAGGGGCTTTGCCCAAAGCAGAGCAATGCAGACAGAGCTCTCCTTGGCTACACCAGCAGGTCAGAGATTCCTTATTAATTTGGGAAATTTCAGTCCCTAAAGGCCATGAAGAAGTTTCATCTCTTTTAGTGATATTCCTGTCTTCACGCCCTTCTCTTTCTTTTAAACATAATGTAGGTGTTGCTTTAGGATGCCATAGGCTGTGCTGGACGTGGTGGTGGAAATCTTTGATAGGAAGGGCTCTGCTAAGCACCTGTGTCTCGGGTCATGGAGAGATTTCAGGCCCAAGCGGGCAGATAAAGTGCAGTGGCCTGAAAGGTGAGATAAGAGAATCTCTTTGGATGCTTTTTAGTGTTTCTTGGATATAATGATGACACAGTGTATGGCGCAGAAACTTTGGTGTTAATCTTCTTGGGAGATAAAAATATTTCTTCCGAAGTCATTTTAATACTTTGCCCTTAAAGAAGCAATGTGTTGTAAGAGCTGTCTTCAAAGGAGGTTTCAGGCACAGTTTTCCTACCCTCTTTATCCTAACAAAACACATATCCTTCCTCCCCTCGCAGGAGCTTTTCAGTTCATTCTGGATAAAGAAACTCGCTTATGAAGAAGATTTTCCCTGTATCATCCTCCCTCTTTAATCTGGTCCTGGATTGCAATTATCAGTAAGTTTCTGCTTCCACACTTTCCAACCTGTGAACCTTTTCAACCCAATCAGATGGGTAATTAAAAGGGATTCCAGCTGAAACAAGGTACGGGGCAGTCCTGGTGGAGGGTCTCTCTAATTCGGGATTGCTGGTTTCAAAGGCAGCTTTTGCACTGGGTAATTTCTTCTGCAGAAAGCTCATTTGTGGAAGCCAGAGTTTCATGGGAGATGGACTTCTCCACCTTTGTTTCCCAACAGCTTTGTTTTTACCGTGTCCCGGCCAAGCGAGTGTGTCTTCACAGAAATACTTTTGGTTGGGAGCGAAGCCACCGAACCACTCTCTAGTATTGTGACTACACCAGATTAAAGAGTAATCATATGGTAATATGCTTACCCCTTCAAAGTCATGGGGATCAAGATGTAGAAACAAAAATAGACCTCTGATCTCTATCTCGATAATGTTTTGTAGCTTCGAGTCTCTTACTGGTATCCAGAGAAAAAGGTCTAGAAGTTTGTGATTTTATTTGCTAATAGCCGAGGAAAATAGCTTTCTATCAGTGTGAAGTATCAAATTAGCCTTTGGGTTCCTGGCAGAGAAGCCTTTGGGCTTCCCAAATCTGACGGAACCAAGTTGGCTGCAAGTTCCCAAGAATTCAGAATCCTTGTTTCCTTTCTTGTTGCTGTGTTCGTATTTATAGACTCAGCATTTCACGGCACTAGATGGTGGACAGATAATCTGGTGAGAAAACCCTAGAAAGTGTCCACAGAAGCTTTGCTCTCCCAGCAGGCAGAGATTCTGCTCGCAGATCCCCCATGCCAGACAGCCTCCTCGCCATGGGAGCACCTTGGAAAGGGCGATGTTTTGGAAATCTCAGTGCACCTACCTGTTGCTACTGGTCCTTGGTGTACACAAAATAAAAATAGTACAAGTCAGGTAGCTATTAGGGGGTTTATTTTATTTTTATTTTTTAATCTGTGAGCCTTTTGTTCTTTTGGCTGCGTGTACCTGAGCAAAAGTCCTTAGTAAAAGGACTTGGGATAAACCTGCTGGTGGGGCCTGCTCTTTCCCTGTCCCAACTTGGGCTAAATGGAGCAGTGGGGAGAGAGGCAGTTGCTTTTCTTTCTCTTGATGATCCATGGGTCGCTCAGCAGTGCGGATGGTGGCAGGGGGAGCTGTGAGGTGCCCAGCTCTCCTCTGATGTGCGTGCTCCAGGTGCGACTCTTCAGCCCTGTATGTTGCACTTGGCTCCACGTTGGCTTCTCCCCCAAATAAAACACTTGGCCTTAGGTTGGCCTTTCAAAAGATCATGTTCTTCTTTTTCTTTTTCCTCAAAGAACTGCAAATTCTTGAGCTGGGCTGCTTGGGTAGTTTCCTGAGAGCATCGCTTTGAGGAAGCTGACTGAGAACAAATGCTGCTTTCAGGTGCGTGGCCTAAATCAAAAGCAGCTCTGTTTGGGCGCCCTGAGGTTCATCAGGGTTTATACCATTATTAACAACCACACAGACTCGGGCAACGCTCTTTTATTTCGCACGTGGGATGGGCAAAGGCTGCTGGTCCCATGCACATTGCTGCACACAAGCGAGCGGCATTTCTTGGGGTGGCTCCAACAAGGATGTTCTTGGTGGCCAAGGCTGGAGCAGTCATAGGAGCTGCTGAAATTGATGTCCCCAAGTGCAGATGTGTGTGTGAGGGAGAGAGGCACTGCAGAAAAGAGGGGCCGCCTGCCAGCAGGGGAAACTTGCTGGTTTCCTTGCAAACAGAGCTTACCCTTGGACTTTGGGAAGAACAAGACGGCTATGTATGAAAAATTTCCAAGCTTTATGCTGAGTTTGGACTTTCCATGTATGCTCAGCAAAGCCTGGAGACCCACAGCTCAGCCGTTCCAGCTGCAGGATATTACTGGTGATCACTGGTGTCTTCTTTGGGAGGAAGGCACTGAGTCTGCTTGGATGTGCCATAAGGTGGGTGAAGGAAGCCAGCCCAAAGAAATGCCTGGTGCTTCCCAGAGCACCACCTCTGGGAAGCTTTACATTGTTTTGGGGATGAAGCAAATGCAAGAAGGAAGACTGAAATGATAACGAGCTAAATTGGTGCCAAATGGACTGAATTCCATGGGCGTGCAGTAAAGGGAAACCCGGATCCTCTGGTTTTTCCTTGGAAAGCAGCTTTCTGTCTTGAGAACCCATGTGCTGGATGACCATATAAATGTGGTTAAACGGCATGGGATTCTGATCAAAGGGGCAATTAGGGGTAATAAAATAGGAAATACAATTATTGCTACCATTTCAGATCTTATAGCCAAGGAGAATCTTAGCAGCTAGATGGAGAAAAGAAATCCCTAACATTAGAAGAATAAAGGAAAAAAATATCCAGATTTTAGCTTGCTCGGCTCTATAGAAAAAGAGATCTGGAAAGTAAAAATACATTTCCTAGAAGGAAGCCCTGAATTCACAAATAAATATTAGTTAAAGGATTGGCTGAGTCAAATCATAGCAGAAACTGAATTAAAAACTTCTGCGCAGGCAAATTTACAGAAGTTAAAACAGTAGCTGGGTTATTTTCATAAAATGTCCAGCACATATGCTGCACTTGCTTTTATTGTTCACCGTTATGGTGTCATGTCTGGCTAGATTTTGCTTTGCTACACACCTCCGCCCCCTAACAAACTGGCCCTATGTATGTATGGAGAGGGAATATAGGGAAATAAGCTGTGTGACAGTGAACTTCTGTTTTTTTTTTTTTTTCTTTCTTTTTTATGTGCTTGGCAAATGTTTTTAAGCGTGTTAAAAGTACACAGTACAGTCAAGTGTTTGAGGGACATGTTTTACTCCCAGAACAAAATGCATGCGTTTTGGCTTCTTTTCCATTGCATTTTTCTTTCTTTTTTTTCTTTGCAAAGCAATCCCTGGTGTTTGGAGGCGGGTGCGGGGAGGCTGCCGGTGCACCTGGACAGGGCTCGGAGCCCCTCGGGATGGGTTTCCCGCTCTGGGTCCTCACTCAGAGGGCAGGAGCAGAGCAGTTAATCCCATAATAGTCCAGTGCTTCGGGATAGCCTCTCCTCAGCTCCCGTGGGATGGATCCTGGGCTCTGCCTGGGCACGTAAAGCAACATGGACCTGGCGAGACCTTGCCTGATGGTCTCACATGGAACCTTTTCCATGGAGTTTCTTGGAGAGCTCCTGATCTCTTGGTGGAAACAGTGCATTTGTAACAGTGGGTCTGTCCCTCCTCACCCCCTCTCCTTCCCTGTTTGTCATTTCCTAGAAGCCGCCAGGCTTGGCTGCTTCTCAGGATGCAGATGATCCCGAAACCTTGCCCGATCCCGCGCTTGGTTCCCTTGCAGGATGCCAAAGCCTGGCTAGAACCAGACATGCCAGTGTTCAGCTCAAAAATAAAAGTCCAGCCTCATGCCTGAGCTCTCCAGACTGAGCTTGGAAACACCCGGCTGGCATCGCCGCTCCAGTGGCTGGGGCCAAAAATCGCCCTCCCATCCCATGTCCCTTCCCGAGGGCGGGAGAGGCTCTCCGGGGCGCAGCAGGGAGAACGTGTTTTATTGCTGTTCACAGTGCGCACGTGGCTTCCCTAGACCTCACTACGTGCTAAACCCCCCGCCAAACCCGGCCTGCGTCCTCATGGTGGAACTGCTCATCTGCTTCCCAGCGGGGCTGTGAGCCCCTGTTAAAGCACGTCTGCGAGGCCCGACAAACCCCCGGGAGAGCAAAGCGGCCGGTCCCACGCGGTGCTGCTCTTTGCTCTTAACCTGCAGGTACCTTCTCCGTGCCCGCTCTGCACAAGAAGCTGCGATGCTCTAGGACTCCCCGCTCCAGAAAACCACAGGAGAAATGTTCCCTCGTCTTTGCTCGTCTTTGGGGCGGAAAAGCGCGGTGGATTAATCCGCTTTGGAAAGAGATTAAGAAATGTTCTCTCCTCCTCCCCGCTAATGTTAGAGTAGGTAATGTTTATTCTTTCTTTATTAACTACAGACGTCAGAGTAAAAGGACTGTTGCCCTTTGATTTTATTTACAAGGCAGAAGTGAAAACCCGTTTGATCATATCGTGGCTGTTTAGCTTCAGTGTAAGAGTGGAAGGGAGCTTGTTCCCAGGTCCTATCATGTCTAAATACAATTTTGCTTCTCTTTAGTTATCTTTGAATTTTAAATGCTACCTCCTTGGCCTTACTTATTTGTCAGGTTGAGTGGAATTGATTCGTGCTCCGCTTATGGAAATACGCTCTTTAAAATGAAATGGTCTCTGAGAACCGGGGAATTTTTGTTGCTGTCAACTTTGAAAGGAAGTTTTGCACAAAAAAAAAAAAAATTAAAAAATCTGTTGCGGAGCAAAAGCTGTTTGGAAAACTTGCGTTTGCTTCGGTTTGACTGGCTCTCGTTGGCAGGTGGGTCCCTGGGCAGGATGGGCTTTCCCTCATACCTGGCAGTCCTCTCCTAACGTGTTGGGAATGGAGGACCTCGCTGCCCAGGGCTCGCTCGCCGTGTGAGCCCAGGGTCACCCCGCACGCCCGGGCACAGGAGCAAAGACTTCCAGCAACCACCTGCCGGCTGCGGCAGCGTTAATTCGATTTTTCAGAGTTTCCTTTGAAAGCGATAGTTGGTAATAAAATAAATGAAGAGCTTTCAGCCAGCCTCTGGTTGCTCTTAAGACAGCAGCGTGCCAATCATGGCTTTACTTAGCAATCCTTTCACCATGGTAGGTGGAAACCCGCCTCATTTTGCTGGATTTTACCCTGTTTCACACTGGTGCTTCCAAAATTACTGCTCAGCTTCTGGACAGTGGCACTGATGCAGCCCTGGGCCTGTGCAGTGATGGAGCTGGAGGGCTGCAAGCTCCGCACGCTGCGACGGCTCCGTCTCCGTCTCGGCCACTTTGTGCTCTTACATCCTGAGCTCTTCGTAGACCCTTAAGTAACTTAGAGCTGTTTGGGAAGCGTTAATTCAGTGCCCAGTGCAGGATCAGCTTAATCACTGGCCCTGCTCAGATATATCATGTAAAGACTAGAAGATGATCTAAAGTTGACAGGAAAGGTATTATTAATCAGAGGACCTTGATGATGCAATTAGCCTTGGGAGAGAAGCAGTTTATGCAGCCACTAGAAATGGAAAAGAACTTTTTTGTTAATACAGCTCGTGTTTTGCCCTTCACGAGACTCTCTCTATATGGGGAAGGTTGCGTGCAATTTAGCTAATCAAACTTCAGGCAGTTTTATTTCTTATGGTTGTAGTCGTGACATTGAGAAAGAAACACAGAAGCAGAAAACAGGAGAAAAAGCTGTGCTTTATTTGCATATTCTATAAGGATATTGTTGAGATGGGATGATGAAATCTGAATAAATATAAGGATTTTCAGAACCTTTTTTTTTTCCAGCCATGTTCCACATTAAGTATATACTTAAGCAGTAATGACTATGAAGCTATGCTTTGCATTCATGAACACACACAGTAGGGTTACGCTTCAGCACTAGGTGAAGCCAAGATTTTCTGAATTATGTTTCATCGGGGAATTTTTACCTTTTTTTCCTGTTTATGACAGTCATTTTATCTGGTTTTGTAATGAGGT